TGGCTTCCCCTTGTCAGTGGTGCCGGACGGAAGGACTGACAAGGACAGCCGTCCAGTCATTCGGATGGTAACAAAATCGACTGCCAGGGTATACATTAGCATGCACGTAAAAGATCCCTTGGCAGTAGGAATTTGATATAAGAGTAAGCCATGGTGCAGCTGCCTGGGCAAAATTTCTCTCATAGCACACTGTATGGCATATGTCCGTCTTCATTAGATGGACAGAACAAGCTAACAAAAAGGCGTTTTTTTGTACAATCAGTGGTCATAATCCAGCAAGTTACAGTCTGAAGTATCAAGTTCTGTCTACATCGGATAACAATTGTGACCTGTTGAGTGTCCACAAACAAATTATGGCCGGACAAATGGACAGTGGCGACAGCAGTATACATCCACAAGAACATGTAGTCGTATAAAAATCAGGACTGGATAAAATGAGCCCTCTCATGGTATCTGTGTTCTTCCTTGAATAAAAAGAATATGTTATGTATTGGGTTGGTTTGAATATTGGTTATATGACAGTCTCCATATGTAACAGTGTTAAGCTGTTATCTATCAACTTCAACTTCATCATTAAGTTAATTCACCATATTTAAAATGCCAGTTTAAGAAATGTTACTTTAATTTTCAAATGAAATGCGCAATTTTATCTATACTATTCAAAAAAAGTAGGGGATATTTGATTTTTAAGTGTTGTTAAAGTCACCTAATGAAACTGACGAAGAAACAAATGACAAAATGAAATGAAGTTCACATTCATCGATTTATTCCAAATGATCGTTAGACTAAGTAAGGCACAGACTGACCATTATAAGGGTAAAATGATACCCGGGGTCAAACAGCAAAGTTACCACAGCATCAAAACCAAGTCAGTAACGGGTAAATCCTCCTCTGTTTGCCAAACAAGCATTGATCCGACGTGGCATACTCCTAATGAGACGTCTAAGGTCATTTTGGTCCAGATTGTCCCATTCCTGTTGCAACGCAGCAGCAAGTTCTTGGACATTGGCAGGACGTTGTTGACGTTGACGTAACCTCTGTCCAAGCATGTCCCAGACATGCTCGATGGGGGAGAGGTCGGGACTCAGTGCTGGCCAAGGTAATGTGGTGATGTTCTGTTGTTGGAGGTAACCTGTAACGATCCTGGCCCTGTGACATCTTGCGTTGTCATCCTGGAAGATGAAACGGCGGCCATGACGTCGTGCGAACGGCACAACATGGACTGCCAAGATGTTGTCCCGGTAGTACTGGCCTGTAACACGCCCTGCAACAACATGTAAAGCCGTTCTTCCAGCAACAGTGATGCCTCCCCACACCATAACAGAACCACCCCCAAATCGATCATGTTTGATGACGTTAACGTCTTGGAAGCGCTCGTTTCGACGACGCCACACCCTCCTACGTCTGTCCAAAAAATCAACAGTGAACCTTGACTCATCTGAAAACATCACATTGCTCCAGCGTCGATTATCCCAGTGTTGACGATCCCTACACCAACGACGTCTTGCCTGAATGTGATGATCTCTCAAACAAGGGATCACGCGAGGACGTCGGGCGCGAAGGTGACCCCTATGCAGTCGATTCCGAATCGTCTGGCCACTCACTCTCACACCAGTGTCTGTTTGAAGACGAGCGCTGATCTGATTTGCTGTGATGACACGATTTCTCAAGGCCAAGGTACGGATAAATCGATCCTGGGCTTGAGTGGTCGACCTGAGCGTGGTCTGTCCTGTACAGATTGTGTATCACGGTATCTGGACCATAGCCTGCTTATGACAGACTGAGAAACATTCATCGTCCGCGCCACAACCGCCTGTGTTGTGCCGATCTGTAGCATGCCAAGGGCACGTAACCTTTCATTTTGGGTAAGCCGACGCATATCAAAATTTGTTTTCTGGTCACTAAAACAATTAAACTGATGTTCCCACCCTGGAATTCATTGCCACAATGACTGTAACATACAAAGTCAGAGTCGTGCAAATCTTGGGTTGGACCCCCATGATGATCCCAAGCATCACCTGCATTCCATGCGGTAGCTATTGGTGCGTTTGGGCGTCACATGTAACTGGAAATGTTTCTTCTGTTAGGTTCTATTGTGACTTTTTTCGTAGTCATTTGCATATTTTAGTATTATGCCCCCAAAATCAAATATCCCCTACTTTTTTTGAATAGTATAGTTAAGTATTTGCAAATCCTGTACTAAAATACACACTACTACAGTACATGTACTTTGTCTCTGGTTTAAACATGCAAATCCTTATCCAATTAAACTAAATAATACATATGTTCTGTTTTCAGAAAGAATATAATTATAATTATAACTAGCTCACATTTATTGAAAGATGTCAATTCTTTATTCTGGCATCCACTACCATTCTTTTTAATGATAAAACTTGGTTTTTGGAATAAAGAAACAACTGATTCCCCAGAAATGATACTAACCGATTATAATAAATGATGTCATTTGATACTCCCAATAGCAGGCAGGTTTATAGTTGTCAACATATAAGGGTAATAATGCTATCAAGTCGGACATGTTGTTTAGATTATCATACCAGCCAATTAAATGTCAGTGAACTGGACACAACACAAACATCCAAAATTTAGCCCCTTTTCTGGAGCTGGTCTATACACTGTATTGTCAAAACAGTCCAGGGAGAGAGAGAAGAGAGATAAAAAGATAAATGGGATTCTATATACGCCCACTCGAAACAAACTATAATTCGCTTGCACATAAGGGGCCGGTTGCTCAAAACTAAGTTATTTTAACGATCCGTTAGAGTTTAACGGATCGTTATCTTGGTAACTTGTCGTTTGTTAACGGTCCGTTAAATTTCTGTTGCTGGAAAGTCAATTTCATTATCCGTTAGCTAACGGATTCATTAAAGTTAATCCCAGAGAATACTGTTTGTTTATTGCCTGAATTTTAAATTTTTGAATTCAATGTACATGTATAACAACTTCATAGAAGTTAGTATTAACAAGAAACTGAAGACAGTGAGACAACTAACTGTGCAGTCTGTTCACAAAACTTGATTAAAGACAAAAAGATAACCAGAATTTACTACAGAAAACACCATAGAATACTTTATTTTTTCCTTTAGAAATTTTAGCATAAATCTGTAGGAAAAATTATGGGATTTGCACTACAGAATTATGGGGTCATTATTTCCTACGGGCTACCAAAATTCTGTAAAATAGTATAGAATTTCATCCTATAGAAAATGGAATAGGCCCGCATCGCCCAACCCTCTAGAATGTTCTATAGAAAATTACATAGGTACAATGTAATCTATGACTTTTTGCTACAGCCAACTAATGCCATCATTAAACAGATAACGGAGACCAACACCTCCGTTAAATATAACGCCAAGTTAACTACACGTTAAAGTTAACGGGGCTTTCAGCAACAACCTTTCTCTCCGTTAAAGTTAATGATCCGTTAACTCCATGTTAACGGATCGTTAAAAGATAACAGAGCTTTGAGCAACCGGCCCCAGGTCTTTAGCTTTGGGAGGAAACCACCTCTTAGCCAAAGAATAATAAAATTTTAATATGTACTAGTATTTGTTACAATGGTGAATCACATAAACAAAAAACATTAGCTGACTACTGCGCATTTGCCGTGACCGAAGGATATGTATTTCTATTTTATACACACACAAAAAAAACTTACTGGAAGACAACGGATGTATCGAATTGTTTGTTCCTTTATTTTGATATGTATAATTGGTTTAATGGAGTATCAATGACATTCGCTTTTGCGTCTCCGAATTATTAAAATTCGAATATATCCATTGATGCATAACAGATGAATGTGTAAAGGTATCTTGTATTATTAATATAGCATGACATGGTGATCAAGTAAAAGATGAATTACGTAAGAATGGGAAAGCGAGGCTATGTCTCGAATATACCAGAGAGGGAGAGATGGGGTTTAAGTTCACTCGACACAAACTAGGTCATTTTGGGACTAACACATGATATAATTTTATTTCAATCATTCGCTTGTGCGTACGAGTCTTTACCAGTGGGAGGAAACCAGAAGGTTGGACAGGCGACCGCGACCCTACTCCATGTCACGTACAACCGGGGAATCGAAACCACGCCAGTTGACTCAATGACGGACCTTATGATACAGCTCGCACGTGCTAACCAAGTAACCATTCGGCCATCTACCCCCCCCCCCCAGCTCTTAAATAATGCATCTTTAACCAGGCTTAACATCCTTTATAATCAGTTATTATAAAATCTCAATCAGTTTCACAACATTTAACATGATTTAATTTTAGCGATAAACGATTAATGTACATGGATGATAATTCGGCAGTCATTTGATTGTAACTTAAAAATTTCATTCAACGCCATAATATATTATTTCAACGCACCCTTTCAAACGGTTCTGTCGCACACATTAATAATTTATATAATTTGTTTGAAACTAAAGATAGGCATTTTTACATCTACAAATAAAGATTTTGCTCGGTTTTTTTTTAAATGCAAGATGATGCTGGCACACGAATACAAAACACGCTGATATGAATATTATATGGCTTGAATTTATATTGTTGCTATGTATTATTATCCTAAAAGATTCGTGGTAAATATCATATGACACACGAATACAAACCAGGCTTGTGTGAATATTTCATAGTTTGGTTTCTATTGTTGCTATGACGAAAAATGCATATTGCCTCAGGGTTTTTTTTAAAGAAAGATAATGTCCCGCATTATGATCAAGCCAAGGTGTTCACCCTAAGTTATCTATTGGTTGTTAATCGGACCATTGACCAGTCATAATTTGGAACAAAAATTTGCTTTCGTTAATGCAGTGTTTAGTGGGATAAGGTATAATCAACGAAACACTGCGAGGAGTATGAGGAACATAATCACTTATCGTCATACGGCCGAGACTAGACTAGAGTAACGGAATCTGCCGAGGTTTGCCGAGTGATAGCAACTACTGAAACTGCGCAAGTCAATGCGCTTGCGCAATTTTTTATTTTTTTTGGTTGGCTGCTGAGCAGTCGCCATATTGAACACGAAATATCACAATTTAGCGCAGGGATAGTGGGAATCAGTAGGTATGCCTGTTACATTAACCATGACGTTGTCATTGTGTCGTAAATATACTATGGGAAAGCATTAGATATGTACACAGAATATTTGAAAAAAATAACACAATCCGACTTGAATCACAGGAGTCTGACCTTCTATCCGTATTATGCATACACCATGTCCAACCACTGAACCAGACAATACAATATATAATAAAAAAAAAAGAACAGGAATGCAATGCCTGTTGAAGACTCGATTTTACCTGCTCTCGCTTCGGCTTGTTTTTTTTCAACAATTCGTAATGTCAGGCAATCAAACCTCTGTCGATTCACTCGGATATGTTTTTTTCTTCAATCTAGTCGTTTTGATTTGCATAAATACTCCCACAAAACGATATCCTAGAATTGTTTCCAATATTTACATTGCTTTCGTCCATTTCCATTTTGTCACTGCCGCCATGCGCTGACGTCACACAAAATCAATCCGCAGTGACTAGACCATTGAAACAAGTGCCAAAGATATTTTTAGTTTTTCTCACCCTTTCCATTTTCCCCCTTTTGCATGGCGATTTTTGTGGACTTTTGGGTGTAGAATCGAAACTTTTATGAATATTTTTTGATGGTATTTTACACAGGATTAAAGGGTCATCTGACTTGGGAGCAGGTCGTTTCATCCCACTACCGGTTCATCCCGGGCTGTTTTGTTTCATCCGGGCTGTTTCATCCCAAATTTACACGGGTCCTTTCATCCTACTTATATCGGGTCCTTTAATCCCACAAATTTAAAAACCGGTATTACATGAATTTTTAATATTTTATTTATACATTAAAACCACTAACCAATGCAATTTTCTCATGAACTCCTTCTTTTGCATACGCCTTAGCTTATTTTCCGAATAAGGGGGTCAATCTAGCTGAAAAATGTACCAATTTTCTCCTATATGGTATCAATGTATGTATATCTGGTATCATCAAAATGTAAGTCTGCCGGGTTTCTGGTGGTGGGTGTGGTATTCCACGCCCTAAATGCCATGACCCCCAACTAGGCTAGATTACGGTAGCTGAAAAGTGTACCAAATGAAAATGGTATTACAAAAACAGTCTGACAGACATTTCTAGTGGTGGGGTACCCCTGACAGAGTTATGTAATTGCCAGACAATTGTAGTAGTGGAGTATCCCTGACAAGAGTTATCTATTATTTAGACCGGGAGCCCAGGGGGTCAATCTAGCTGAAAAGTGTACCAATTTTCTCCTATATGGTATCAATGTATGCATATCTGGTATCATCAAAATGTAAGTCTGCCGGGTTTCTGGTGGTGGGTGTGGTATTCCACGCCCTAAATGCCATGACCCCCAACTAGGCTAGATTAGCTCAAAAGTGTACCAAATGAAAATGGTACAGCAGTGTACGGTACATCTTCAGGCATTACAAAAACACTCTGACAGACATTTCTAGTGGTGGGGTACCCCTGACAGAGCTATGTAATTGCCAGACAATTGTAGTAGTGGAGTATCCCTGACAAGAGTTATCTAATATTTAGACCAAAGCTAGGCTAGATTAGCTCAAATCTGTACCACCTAAAACAGCTTTGGAGTTGTTCAGTATCACCACAGGAGTCGTGAATGACCACTGCCAGACAAGTTGTGCGGTGGGTTACCCCTGACAGACTTTCCCCAAAATGCCACGCCCCAAACTAGGCTAACTTCGCAACCACTGTTCCTGTGTTTTAAAAAATTAAATTTTTAGCCAGGATGCGTAGAATACTAATACCTAACATATGGAAGAGGCTATCACTGCGGTTGCAAGAAATTGATTTTTGGGAAAAAAACGTTTTATGGGGCTAAAAATGCATTTTTGAAAAAAAAAAAAGTTCCTGCAACCGCAGTTTATCGCCTCTTCAATACGTGCAAGGTATTAGTAATCTACGCATCCTGGCACAATTTTTAAATTTTTGGACCACGGGAACAGTGCCGGCTAATCTATCCTAGTTGGAGGGCGTGTCTATTAGGGGTTACCCACAGCACAAACTGTCTGGCAGTGGTCATTCATGATTCCTCTCGTGGTACTGAATAACTCCAAATCTGTTTTAGGTGGTACAGATTTGAGGTAATCTAGCCTAGATTTGGTCTGGAAATTAGATAAATCTTGGCAGGGATACTCCATCACTACAAATGTCTGACAATCATAGGCGTACGAGCTGGGGGGCGGCCGCCCCCCACATTTTGGGCACCAAATGCTAGGAAAATTTGGGCACACAATTGTACTTTGTAAAAGTTGTATAAAAAAAATATTATGTTCTTGAATGTGTCCAATTTAACAGCGAATTTATTATTATACTATTCAAAAAAAGTAGGGGATATTTGATTTTTAAGTGTTATTAAAGTCACCTAATGAAACTGACGAAGAAACAAATGACAAAATGAAATGAAGTTCACATTCATCGATTTATTCCAAATGATCGTTAAGACTAAGTAAGGCACAGACTGACCATTATAAGGGTAAAATGATACCCGGGGTCAAACAGCAAAGTTACCACAGCATCACAACCAAGTCAGTAACGGGTAAATCCTCCTCTGTTTGCCAAACAAGCATTGATCTACGTGGCATACTCCTAATGAGACGTCTATGGTCATTTTGGTCCAGATTGTCCCATTCCTGTTGCAACGCAGCAGCAAGTTCTTGGACATTGGCAGGACGTTGTTGACGTTGACGTAACCTCTGTCCAAGCATGTCCCAGACATGCTCGATGGGGGAGAGGTCGGGACTCAGTGCTGGCCAAGGTAATGTGGTGATGTTCTGTTGTTGGAGGTAACCTGTAACGATCCTGGGCCTGTGACATTTTGCGTTGTCATCCTGGAAGATGAAACGGCGGCCATTACGTCGTGCGAATTGCACAACATGGACTGCCAAGATGTTGTCCCGGTAGTACTGGCCTGTAACACGCCCTGCAACAACATGTAAAGCCGTTCTTCCAGCAACAGTGATGCCTCCCCACACCATAACAGAACCACCCCCAAATCGATCATGTCTGATGACGTTAACGTCTTGGAAGCGCTCGTTTCGACGACGCCACACCCTCCTACGTCTGTCCAAAAAATCAACAGTGAACCTTGACTCATCTGAAAACATCACATTGCTCCAGCGTCGATTATCCCAGTGTTGACGATCCCTACACCAACGACGTCTTGCCTGAATGTGATGATCTCTCAAACAAGGGATCACGCGAGGACGTCGGGCGCGAAGGTGACCCCTATGCAGTCGATTCCGAATCGTCTGGCCACTCACTCTCACACCAGTGTCTGTTTGAAGATGAGCGCTGATCTGATTTGCTGTGATAACACGATTTCTCAAGGCCAAGGTACGGATAAATCGATCCTGGGCTTGAGTTGTCGCCCTTGGTCGACCTGAGCGTGGTCTGTCCTGTACAGATTGTGTATCACGGTATCTGGACCATAGCCTGCTTATGACAGACTGAGAAACATTCATCGTCCGCGCCACAACCGCCTGTGTTGTGCCGATCTGTAGCATGCCAAGGGCACTTAACCTTTCATTTTGGGTAAGCCGACGCATATCAAAATTTGTTTTCTGGTCACTAAAACAATTAAACTGATGTTTCCACCCTGGAATTCAATGCCACAATGACTGTAACATTCAAAGTCAGAGTCGTGCAAATCTTGGGTTGGACCCCCATGATGATCCCAAGCATCACCTGCATTCCATGCGGTAGCTATTGGTGCGTTTGGGCGTCACATGTAACTGGAAATGGTTCTTCTGTTAGGTTCTATAGTGACTTTTTTCGTAGTCATTTGCATATTTTAGTATTATGCCCCCAAAATCAAATATCCCCTACTTTTTTTGAATAGTATATTATGTAACATACTAAAAACCTAACTACATTTTTTGGGCACCAACCACCACTGCCCCCCCCCCCCATTCAAAAATTTCCCCGTACGCACATGCTGGCAATTACATAGCTCTGTCATGTCCGTCAGAGTGTTTTTGTAATACCTGAAGATATAGGGTACATTGCTGTGCGATTTTCATGTGGTACACTTTTGAGCTAATCTAGACTAGTTGGGGGGCATGGCATTTTGGGCGTGGAATACCACACCCACCACCAGAAACCCGGTAGACTTACATTTTGATGATACCAGATATGCATACATTGATACCATATAGGAGAAAATTGGTACACTTTTCAGCTAGATTGACCTCCTGGACTCCCACTCTGTTATACAATGTCAATGCAATTTTAACATGAATAGTATCCAACTTCTTCCTTTGCATCATCTTCAATAGAAGGCTTGATCTCGCCTTAACTACGTACATCTTATGAAGCCCTTCACGTAATACCCCGCATATTTTAGCACTATAATTTCGATTGGGTATAAGCCAAGTCTCGCGCTTCTAGTTCTAGTTTAAATGTCTACATGTAACAATCGAGTTGCAAAGTTCAGGGTTCGATCAATGTCAAGGTTGCTGGAAATCATGGTTGATCAACAAAGGCTGTAAACTTGTCTATTTCATTTTCTATGGAGGCCGCCGCCATATTTGTTTACAGTGTGTTATGTGGCACGACCTCTGATTGGACAATGCTAATTAGTCACGTGTAAACACAACGAGCGCAAAAATTCGGGAATTGTTGAGTATTGAAGCAACGACTAGATGTTGTAAAACTCGCGGTCGTTGCTTCAGGAACATGCCTTTGCATAGACTTTAGTTTATTTTCCGAATCCACACCACTTCTCGACATCAATTTCACTAAAATTACATCGCTTACAATCGAGCGATGCTCATAGCTAGGGTGACCCATGCACTCTACAGAAAGTTGGTCTCGACACGGCTAATGTGCACGCTTCAGTGGTAGTCTCGAACTATCTGCGGTGGACTGTATGATACTATAAATAGCCAAGGCACGTGCAATTCTCTACAAATCTATCAACTATTACAGCCGTAAAAAATCTATTGTTGACGATTTTGAATAGCAGTAAAATTTAGCTTCTTGGTTATTACAGCAGCTTTAGA